ATCGGATCGTTCAACTTGATAGTGCACGCCTTGTTTAAGCCTCACTCAGGCGAGTCATCGGAACCGGCACATGCGCAACATGTACCCGCAGTTCGTGGGGTTTCGGCGACTACATTTTATCGGGAATAGACGAATCCCTTCCAGACGCCACGTCAGACCATCTGACGCACTCGTCCACGTCGAAAGACAGCAGACTCCAGCAAGCCTGGCTCCGAGTCTGGCGACGCGTCGGCAACGTGTCACCTCCCAACGGCCGGCCAGACCGACGGCAACGGAGTCGAGACCGCCAGGGGCCGGTTTCACTTGGCTGCACCTCGAAGTCGCCGGCTTCCAAGCGACGCATGACGGGCTTGTCAGGCAGTTACGGCCAGTGATGGGGTAGAATATAAATAAACGGTTGATTTGCTTACTGAGCCGAGTTGATGCATAAACAGTCCGATCCTCCTCGGCCGGATAGACCGACGGATGGACGGATAGACGAACGGAATGACCAGACTTTGTTCGTCCACTATTAACAGTCGATTGACGAGTGGATGGACAGACGAGTAGGTGGAGAGTAGGCTTGACTGATGGGCCAAGAGATGACGAGAGACGAGAGCAGATTCGACGTACCATGCAGAGCAGAACAAAGCATCATAACTAAACGCATAAACGAAAGCACAGTTTCCACGCCTTTGCAACCCTTTGTGGGTCGATTCGTCTCTACCAACCGACCTAAACCCCCGTTGTCCGAGTTTCGACAGCATCGCTGCAGTCATTTCGACGCACATACACATACACACACACACACACACACACACGGAGCTACACACTTGCATGCATACGTCGGCGAGAACCTTCACTCCTTTGTAAAGTGATTTGGAGATCGATTCAATGGTGGAATTAGAAATAATTTCAATTAATGCTCAATTAATAATCACTTAATGCCGTCGAATGATAGAACCTCCGGAGCACTGCAAAAAGACACAGACAAAGTGCCCTGAATGGGTTGGCATTCGCCGACGGCCACATGCGACGACTACGCCCATGTCGGCAGGCTGACACTGGTTGAAGATGAACAGACAATTAAAAAGTTAACTGTAGGTGTGTCTGGATACCGGAAAAAAAGTTGAGTAATGAAAGAGAGCTTGTCGAGTGAGCCATGTAGCAAAACGAGGCGACTAATGTGGTTTTTTGTCGGTCAGCTCTCTGTTTACGATCACAATTTCTGTACGTCTTAGCTGAATCTCTCTCACAATCTCTCTCACTCTCACCCGTACACACATACACAAACAAAAATGTCATCTACCCGACCAGGAAGGTGTCTGAATTTACGCAATTGGAGTATGGGATTAACAAAAGTGGAAGTTATTTAACCTTTGTTACCGAGGGCAGCTGTTACACTCTGTGCTGCCGGTTTGGTACATGTATCTACGTATAAATGCACATACGCGCACATGCGTCTAGGTTGACGTATGATTTGAGCAAATCACGCTAAACCTCAGCAATTTATGAATAATAACTAAGTCAGTCTAAGTCGTTTAAAGTGATTTAATGGCGGAGAAATGAAGTGGACCTCATCAGCAGTGGACCTCTCGTCAGCAGCCAAAATGGCAATGGTTGCGGGTCGTGAATATCGTGGAGACTTTACTGCTCCCTTGGGCATGCGGCGGGCCACAGGACAGATTCGACTTCGAAAGGAAGGTTGGATTATCCATGAAGCAAACATG